TCTGTTGCACCATGGAAAGGACAGGCTGTTCCCTTTGTCTGCATTGATGTAACCAACAGGAACAGAAGGCAGTTCTTCAGTCAGAGAGAAAAAAGTACCCAGTAAGAGCAGAAGGTGATGCTGATGCTTTTTTCTCTTTCCAGTTGCCTGAGGGTCCTGTTTAGATCATGCAGTTACCTGGAACAAATACACTGAGGATAAGAATACTATGGTCATAAAATATGAAGACCTGAAAGAGGTAGAGCAGATGCTGTGTATTGACAGCCAAAACACATCTGAGCCCATTCCTTGAAATTTGCTGAAATTTAGAGCAAAAGGCATGAGTTCTGAAAGAGCAAAATCAAGTTGATTTTAGTGACAAGTTGAGTCTGCCTATACAAAAGCAGAGCTCCATTGTAACACAGAAAACATTAGGTAAAGGAATATATATATTGTTAGTAGATGATGGCAATGCACATCCCAAGTGAGCAAGTCCTTTTTTCAGAGGAAGCATATTGCATGTCTCACTGTATTGCTCTCAGAATCTGACTGCCAGTGTAAAACAAATAGCTAGATTCTTTGGAATCTCCCCAATGGCAGAGCAGATCCAGGCCATTGCAGAAAGGGACACTTTCCAGGCAGTGAGGGATAAAGCTCAGGAGACTCATGTTGCTGTTGGCTTGATTCTTTACCACAAAGGTAAATTTGTTTATCCTTTGCCAGGGTGGTGAATGGTAGCTCTGCATCTTGGTCAAACAGGAATTTGGATCAGTAGGTGGTTAATCTTTGTGTTTAACTTTCAAGGTTGGGTATTGTTTAAGAAACACTGATTGAGGTTCAGGGTTCTGTTAGTGGATGTCCTCACAAGGGCCAGTACCATCTGGTAAAGCTGTGTATAATATAATTAGTAGAAGTGCCCTGCAAGTAGCACACCCTTCAGTTGTGATATGCACTAAGCATCAACTAAAACAAAGAGTTTTATTTTGGCTTCAGTGAGTACTGAGGGTACCTGGCACTCAGTCTGCAGAGTGCCTCCACAGATTTTTTTCTTGTTTTTTCTAAATAACCTTTGTGACTGCCTGTGTACCTCAGTCAACACGTGGAACCCAGACACTCCACAGACTGATCTGTGTCTATTAGCCATGGATCAGGCTACAGCCTCAGACAGCCTCCGACTGTGGGCTCTCCAAAATCTAGATTAAAGGTAGACTGCAGCTTAGGGCAGTGTCTGGTTGCAGTGCACGAAGCTCTTGCATACCTTTGAACTTTCTGGGTTGGTTTCACAGCTGCTGGTTATCTTGTTTAGTCTTCCGCAGCTATACAAGGCACATCACATGTCAAAGCTATGCAGGCAGACCAGAAGCTTCCTGTGGTCACATTATGTTCACGTTCTGTTGAGAAAACCAAACATAAGGCAAACATAACAGTGTATTCTTCTGTAGGAGTTTTTTTTTCTTACAGGCAAAAAGAAAAAAGGGGAAAAAAAGGATAAAAAGGATTATTCTGAAGTATGATAATAAGAGAGACAAGGCAGTTTTTTGTTTTAAATTATACTTCTTGGTCCTTAGTGTTAAGGGCAATGTTTTACTTTTCTTTATATTCCAGGTGTTGTTGGAAATCGAAGAAAATCTTTTAACTGAAGCTCAGAACCAGGAAATGGCTGCCAAATCACAAAATCAAACCATTTCAGAAGGAAGTGTGTAAATACCAAGCAAATCAAAGTTGCTAAAGCTATCTCAAACAAATCTGTGGTTCCCTATAACCCTTACATAGGCACCAGAAAAATCAGCAGCATTCTGTGGCTATTTGCCTCGGCTGTATCTGCTGCAGCAGTAGGTCAAGATCAAGGCTAAGCAATTAATAAAAGTAAGTTCAAAACAGGAGCACTACCTCCTGTTAGAGTAGGTTGTCTGAATTACTGATAGATCAGTAATAGTCAGCCTGTGCTCCTAAAGTTTAAGATGAAGGCAGTTCATCCAGGGCAGTTCAAGAGGGAATCCTATCTCAAGATGCTTCATAGACTGCTCTTAAATATACTCTTAAAAATGGACCTTTTGATCAGCAAGGTTATTAACATGATGTTGTTTAGCTATCTGAGGGAATATTTTATAGCTGGCATTCCAAAATTCCTTCAGTTTGACCTGCACATTCTTCTCAGTGTGTTTTCACATACACAGTAAATGCCAACCACTGATGAGCAGAAAAGAGTAAGTCTAGAGAGTATGAGGGGCGAATGACTTTTTTGCAGCTTTCTGTGTCTTGTAGGTTTGGCTTTGTTAAAAGTGATGTGGTGAGGTAACAGAGAACAAAGCTAGATGTAATGTCACTGGCATACTCTTGTGAGACCCCACGTGGAATATTGCATGCAGTTCTGGTGCTCTCAACATTAGAAGGACATGGAACTGTTTGAGCAAGTCCGGAGGAGGCCACGAAGTTGATAAGAGGACTGGAGCATCTCCCCTATGAGGACAGGCTGAGGAAGTTGGGGCTGTTCAGCCTGGAGAAGAGAAGGTTGTGTGGAGACCTCATAGCAACTTTTCAGTATCTGAAGGGACTACAGGGGAGCTGGAGAGGGACTCTGTTAGAAACTGCAATGATAGGACAAGGGGTAATGGGTTCAAACTGAAGGAGGGGAAGTTCAGGTTAGATATTAGAAAAAGGGTTTTTCCTGTGAGGGTGGTGAGACACTGGCACAGGTTGCCCAGGGAGGTAGTGGCTGCCCCAGCCCTGGCAGTGTTCAAGGCCAGGTTGGATGAGGCCTTGAGCAACCTGGTCTAGTGGGAAGGTGTCCCTGTCCATGGCAGGGGTTGTGACTAGATGATCTGTAAGGTCCATTCCAACCCGTAAAATTATACGATTCAAAAGCGAGAATTTGTACCTTCCTTAAGCACTTCAGCACATTCAGAATGAAAAAACACTGTGAAGTGCTTTGAGATGGTGCATTGGAGGTCAAAGCCAGTAACCCACAAAGTTTGCAGCTATTGACAACAGCTAAACCACACAAAAGATTCAAACCCAACAGAAAAATTAAATTCCTCATTGTGGAAAATCACTTATCATGTATTATTTCAGCCATAGATATAGGGAACAATTTTGGATATATATTTTCCATTTCTATACCTTGTACTTTATGTATATTTTAGCTTTTATGTGTTTGATTACGATACTCAGCAGTAAAACCTTAAGTGGTATTTTTGACACTCAGCATTCAAAGAAGATTTTGGATCATCTACCTTCTAAAGAAGAGGTTTTTTTCACTCCCTGAGCCCAGTTTTGATTTCATTTTTTTCCTGTATTTGTGATCTGCTTCACACTTACCATTTTCCTGCAGTTGTAGGTATTTATGGTGTCTACATTCATGGTAACTGGTAAATGCTGCTCTATTAGTACTTCTGTCACCTCCATTTCCCTTATGTTCGGTAACAATCATAAGGCAGGAAAGTATATTAAAATTCTATTGAAAAGAGAAATTGGAGGTCTCCTCTTGGAAAAGAAAAGCATAAATGTGTCTTTTGTATGCACAAGAGAGCTCCCTTGTGTGTGTTCAGGGTGTCAATAACCCAGGTAAAAGGAAAAGGATTCTGGGCCTGTATTATAACAAAAGTAAAATGGGATCAAAGCAGAGAGAACTGAGCTCAATTTTCTCATTTACAAGATGTGAGCATTTCATATTGCAGCATTATGCAGTGCATTAATTGGAAAGACAATGTTGAATTACAATAGAAGGTTTGTAGAAGTACAGGGCACATATGACATCTACAAGAACATCAAAGTTTTTTTTCTGAGAGTAGGCTGGCTGTTATAAAGGATGCCAAATGGATTCATAAATAAGGGGACATGAAATACAATAATCACAATCTTTATATGACAACAGATGCCTGGACTCGTATTCTAATGTGTGTTTTTTTGTTAAAGTCTTAACACTGATGTGAATTTTGGCTGAACAATCACCTTTTGTGGGGATTAGAACCTTCTGTTTTACTCATAACACGCTGCAGAGCTTGGCAGTGTTGAAATGAGACTGCTCAGTGATTGTTACAGGCACTAATATTGTCAGGATTGATGCAAATGAGAACAACAGAGAACAGCAACCTTATGAATGAGAACACACTGTATCGGTGCTGTGTCTGAGTGTATTGGTACAGCACTCTGGTAAAATGTCGTTTACATTCACATGTTTATGATCATAGATTAAATTGTCCTGTATTGCTATTGCACTTTGTAACACATGTAGATTGGATAATATGAAGTATTAGTTGATAAAATATTCACTTTTCATCTGAATGAAACAATTTTCATATGATTATTTGGCTTCTTCAAAAACTTTAGAGGCTTGAGGAAGACAGAAAATTAGTCTTTGACGTTCAAAATGTGAGGAGCAGTCAGGAAATGAAAGGGGGCTGGGAAACTGGTGTCTTGGGAGGCTTGTGTGCTCATGAATAATATAAATTTATTGACATATGCTTGTGGGGTCTCCAGTGAGTTCCCTGCTGTTTTGCATTTTACAAGCCAGTGAAGCCATTTTCATTACTGGAACACTCGTTAGCATTCCCCCGGCAGGTAAATAAGTCATAGTTTCATTATTGTGTAGTTCTGATATATCCATGGGCAATACATTGATATTCAGAGGAAAAAAATGAACTACTAGATAATCTTAAGCATTAGACATACATTCCAATAAATGTAAAAATAAAACCAACAAACAGCCAAAAATGGAGGATTTTAATTTTTCCCTCCCTTTATTTCATTTCACATTTCCGAGAGCTATTGGAACAACTTCTGCAGATGTGGTGAGACCTCATGCAGTGGGTGAGGGGGTCCTGGGGGTGAGTCTGCCCATGCCTGAGGGAGCTGGAGCATGGCCCAGTGGAAGCTGCTTCTGCCAGACACCATCAAATAGTCTCCCCATTACACAGGGGGTCCCTGTGTCACAAGGATGGGATGCTGTAAGGAATTGCCTGTCTTAAACACTGTTCAGGCCACAAAAGTATGATAAGATGATAAGGATGATAAGATAAGACACTCTAGCCACCACTGCAGCAACTTGAGAGAAGCACAAAAGTGATGAATTTGCACTAATTCAAAGCCTGGTGGAGTCGAGATCTGGTTAGCACATCCT